AAATTTTACTGAGTTGAGAGTTTTAAGAAATTCAAAAGCACAAACAAAATAGAAAAACCTTACAGGTTAAATTAGTGAAATGGGAATACACATTAGGTGTCCCTCATTTTCAAGAATCATTTGGAAAGTAAGAAGAATATCATCTCTAAAACTAGTAAGTATTAGTAAATACTGTTATTTTAAAATCCCTAGAAAGTAAAGGGATTAAAGCAACCCTGACTTGAGAATCAGGAGACCTCACCCAAAGCTGACTCTGGCGCTACATAGACAGGTGTCCTTGGAAAAATTATTTTATGAGAGTGTTGGCCTAGATTAATGGTTTTTAACTGGGGATGTATATGAAATGCTTGGAAAGGTTTTTGTTTTTCAAAATAAACCTGCTTGAACCCTCTCCCTGGACATCCTGAGATGCCTATGGGATGGGGAGACGGACAGTGGATACGGAGTTAGATGGGGTTAGATGGATATGGCAGGTGTAACTGAAAATAGTCAAGGGGTTAGGGATATAGAAGAAATTCAGTCAAAAGCTTGAAACTCGGTGATAGGTACATGGAAGTTCATCACACAATTCTCTCTCCTTTTATAGGAGAGGCAGAAAAGCTTTCCAGATCTTCTTATACACCTTATACACCTTAAACTTTAATGTCTCAGACAAGTCCCTGGGGATCTCCTTAAATGCATGTTCTGATTTATTAGTTGGAAAGGCCTGAGAGTCTGAAGTTCTCACAAGTCCCAGGTGATGGTGTTACTATTGGTTTATGGACTATATTTGAGTAGAAAGGAATAAGAACACCATGGGACCAGATAATTACTAACTAGAATATTCTATTTCCTCAGAAGGTCATAGGATGGATGGAGTTTCATGGCCATCATTTAGTAAAAATATAAAGCAAATCACATCATTTTTATTAATATGTAAAATTAATTTTACATAGAGCTTAAAATTACTGCTCAAATAGTTGAGCTCATCTATGAAATAATGCATCTAGAAGATTATGATGTAAGCCAAGACTTAAGACAATTTAAATAATATCTAATATCCAACAGATCCAGTGTTTACATATTAAGAAAAGCTTTGTACCAGAACTGTTCTGTCATGTTTCCGCCCAGAGGCTGTCATGATAAAGTTTATTATCAGTTACTGCTTTACAAGTATAAAGTAAGTTAAGCTGTCATATTTTTCTCAGGCAAAGATCCTAAGCTGTCAGAGAATGTCAATTTTAAATCTGACATAGAGAAGAAAATTATCTGTTATTCTGACCTCTAATTTCTTGACATTTTAATGCCATAATTGCTGTGGTTAGTGCTGCTTCATGAGTTCACCTGTCAAGGAAGAATGAATCAATAACCTTAAGCCATTTCTCAAATTTTAGCCCTGATTCAAAGCTCAAAGTTATACATAGATTATAGGAGATACATATATTTTTTTCACAAGAGACATATTGATATTCATATATTAAATATTTATTGTTTAAATCAGTGTTTAATTTAAGCATCCAAAAAATCACCTTCCTTAGGCTAGTTGGAGTTCAGTATAAGATAACTATAACCTGGGGTGCCTGGGTGGCTCAGTGGGTTAAAGCCTCTGCCTTCAGCTCAGGTCATGATCCCAGGGTCCTGGGATCGAGCCCCACATCGGGCTCTCTGCTCAGAGGGGAGCCTGCTTCCCACTCCCTCTCTGTCTGCCTCTCTGCCTACTTGTGATCTCTCTCTCTCTCTGTCAAATAAATAAATAAAATCTTTAAAAAAAAAAAAGATAACTATAACCTTCCTCAGGTTTTATCTAGGTGAAATGTAATGATCTTAATATTTAAAAGATACAAAGACAAACATTATCAAATAAAGGAAATTCATTAAGCTAGATAAGAGGGCTAACATTTTGAATACTGCTTTTTCCAAGAGTTTGTGTCCAACCATTTAGGTAGGTATCAACTTTCACAAATCATGGTACCATAGCTAGTCCTCTGGGATCTCAACAGTGATGTTTTCATAAAAGGTGCTGTGCCTCCTAGAAGGGCCTCCTCACTGGGAAAATGTATATGTTAAGGGGATGTAAATGGCTTCCAAATAAGGAATATACTGCACTTCATTCCACATTATCTACCTTATCTACAGAGTTCTCTTGGGTGATAGTAGATGCTAAACACTTCTCAGGTTGGCAAACATATGTCATGTATTATTATTCCTTCTTTATAGAGAGAGCACTTGACGTAGAGGGAGATTAAACGTCTTGGCCAACACTAGACCGCTTACAGATTTTAGGTGGGTTCCCATCTATGTGGATTCTTAAATGATAGTGCAGTACTTCCCCCCCTCCCCACAGAATCTCAGTTTTAATTACTAATATGGTAAGAATGGAGAGCTATATCTCACTCAAGCCTTGAATGATTGCAGGACGTTTTTGAGAATATGTTAGGTTTCTGGGGTAGAGGAGATAAGTGTGGGGAGTAGGAAGAAGGACAGTTAACTCATGTCCCTTGTTACCATTTAATCTTCTGTGGCTACAATGTAATAAGCATTTCTTAGCGGTCTTAAGGAGATAAAGTATCTTCCTAAGCAGTCTTGAGTTGACAAAGGTCCATACTGTCAGAGCAAATGTCTCTCTGTGCTGGTGTGTGCTTGGGGCTCTGCCGGCTGGCTGAAGAAAGGTAACCGTGTTTCAGGTGTGTGCTCCCTAAGGGATTATTCTGAGAACGGATATCAGGGTTTTCGGGTCAGGGAGGCAGGCGATTAGCTGGGGTGGAAGGACATATCTATCACAGAATGCCTCTGGAAGTTTCTCTAGTGGAACCTCCATATTCAGCAATTATGTGCTCAGAATAAGAATGCTAGAAGGAGAGAGTCCTGAACTCGGGCCGCCTAGTGCTTGGCAACTGGCCTCACTATGAGGAAATCAGGAGCAGTAACATATTGTTCAGACCATCTTTATAATAAGCGAACACCATGGCTGAACCACTCTCATCCAATAAAAACTTCTTTAAAATTATACAATTTCATGTTGTATTTCATTGGGAAGTCCTGTAATTTGATAAGTAAGGCCCATGCATAGTTTTTTCCCCCACTGTCCAAAGCAAGGGTGTGAAATTTTACAGAAGCAGGTATTTTTATAGAATTCAAATAATAAACACAATATCTATGTAAAGAAAGTCTCAATTCTATTTTCTTTTTTTTTTTTTTTTAAGATTTTATTTATTTATTTGTCAGAGAGAGAGAGGGAGAGAGAGCGAGCACAGGCAGACAGAATGGCAGGCAGAGGCAGAGGGAGAAGCAGGCTCCCTGATGAGCAAGGAGCCCGATGTGGGACTCGATCCCAGGACGCTGGGATCATGACCTGAGCCGAAGGCAGCTGCTCAACCAACTGAGCCACCCAGGCGTCCCTCTATTTTCTTTTTATTCCCATTTATCATTTTACTGACTCTCATATAAATATTAAAAACCTGCATATGTCAACTGTAATGCTGTCTTGCACTTTCATTACATACAGTATGCTTAAAAATTATATTTTCCCCGAGAGGATTAATTGCAACTTTCTTTACAAGGACAGAACTCTATATTGGATAAAAAGGTATGATCAGCTATTCAGAAGTAAAAAGGTTTATGGTATTTAAAAGTAAAAAACCAATTTGGAGGTGGTCTTGGGATAAAAGGATAAGCTTACTCTAATTGTTTTTTTTTCTGATTCTAAAGGTATTGGTTCTAAAAGGAGAATATAATTTGTAAGGTGTTTACAGAACAGGGCAAAGGTGTATTGTGAAAAAAATAAGCTCAGAATGATCTTCTATAAAATAATCTGATTACGGTTTGTATAGGGGTTACTAAATCAGGTGAGTGTAATGGTTTGCAGAGAAAATCCCTTTTTTCACCCATGAATTTCATAATACCCGTCTTCTCTCTCATTCATTTATTCTGCATTTCTGCTCCCTTCTTTCAGCTTCGGGCACAATCCATTTCCTCACACGCACAACATGATATAACACTGTACCTAATGACATGCTTACAAAGTGTTCTCTGATTATTTAGCCCTAAGAGTCCAATGAGCCCCGATCTCAAGTCTATCTCCTCTCTTCTTCCCTGCTTGAAGCCATACAAATGGAGCCATTTTGTTTTTGTAGAGGTATGTAAGAAATAAGTTTATAGATGTAGATTTTTCTTGTAGAGCTTTACTTCCCAAATCTACAAGTTTTCCACTTCTAAAATTAAAAGTAAAAAAATAAAACAAGCATTCCACTGATGGGAAATGTAGACACGATTGCTTGTTTTGCACCCAGCAGATGGCCACTATTGGGGGAATGGAGGCTGGGACGTGGCTTCCTAGCAGCGACACTTACCCAGCAGCTGTTGCTCCTTTAGTCTTTCACCTATCTGAAGTCATTTTGTGCAGTGGGGAAGTGATTTAAGTAATATTTTATATGAATATTTTCACTAAAAATACTTATGCACATAGTAGAGCACATAATTCCCAACTGTTAGCTATAAACTTTCAGGGTAAGAACATACAGGAATAAAAAAACTCTATCCTCATCTATTTTATTGATGTATTTTGGAGAACATTCTGGAATAAAATACTATACCCTCATCTATTTTATCAGTGCATTTTTTGAGCGTTCTGTCTGGAACTCTGTAATTTTGCTTTTATTAAGAAAATACATACTAGCAGCTTATTTTAATGTGAACAATTCTTTTTCAAATATTCAACTAGGTTTCATTAATAACATGCACAGAGCATTAAGCATTTTAATGAAGATGCTGAAATAAAACAAGTAAAATAGGAATACTGAAGTGCATTACATGTGTCTATAATTCAAAAGAGAAAAACACAGCGGTCTCATTACTTGGTTTTGACATATAATATTCATTTTCCTACATTTGTCAAAACCCTGAAATTTATGTTTTATAAAAATTTGTGTTTAAAGGAAATTTACAGAGAAAGAGATGGAAAGCCAAATTTGTGTCTGAGAGATGACAGAAACTTTTGTAATAATATGGAACTTAACACCTACCTCCCTTAGCACAGGGTCAGTGATGCTATCCAGGTTCACAGAGCCTTCATAGGTTAAGTAGTGAAAAACATTCAGAGCACGGACGGCTTCCGGTCCTCGCTGTTTGTAGCCAAATATAAGGTCAATCCACTGATGGAGTTGGCAAGAAACAAATTCACTTTCCAGGGCCTGCAATGAATGAGTCAAGAAAGATATAAGAGACTGTACAAACTTAGCAAATCTCCCTTTTTCTTAATTTGAAATACTCTATATAAAGAAGTACCATATGCTCTTTGCATTACATATATTACACATATATTTTATCTGCATGTATTAGATGTCCAGTTCCTAGAAATGGTAAAATAATACAACACAGACCCGACTGAAAATTTTCTTTCAAAATGCTTAACTTTCTTGTGGCTCCATTATGTATAGGACACGATTTTTAAACATTACATAGATTTCTTAAAAAGACACATTCATGTTTTCAACAAAACTAACTTGAAGTACCTGTTTTAATTTTACAGTAATTTCATTTCTCATTTTTAAATAATTTCATTAGAAACTTTGATATACACTTATTTTCCTGCCTAAAGTCTTCAAATGTAATGCTAACACTCCTAAAAGGGGATGCCTTCTCTTGGCTACAAATGAACTCTTGCTTTTACACAGCCTAGGAATCACTGGGCAAATTTTACATGTTGGCTAGCTAGTAGGAAATGAATGCAAATTACTGACAGTCAATGACCAGACTAAGCTTCCATAAAGAGTCAGAAAAAAAAGAAGGCCTTTTCATTGCGTAAGAAACATCATAAGCTTCCTGGAGGTATCCTGACATGTAGGCACGGAGTTCTGTTCATACCTGTGACATGAGCAGTGTCGGTCACTTTATGGCCCTCTATGCCTCCCACTTACTGCATCCACTTGTCATCAATTTCTTATTGATTTTAAGAGCACACTGATTTCAGCAACATGAACAAGAGCTATAGAGACAGCTTCTTAAATTTCAACTAAGTGTAGCATATTAAGCAATTTTCTAAATTACAGCTGTAACTAAATATGTGAATGAAGTCATTCTATGGCTTCATGACCCTGATTTCTAAGGCACTGACACCAATTTGGAATAACTTAATTAATAAATGATTTCTTAAATCAGCCCTCTGATAATTTCATTTGATTTTTTAATCTACAAAATGTCCGAATGATACTTTGTAACTTTTCCTGTGATCATATTTTACTAGTAATTTTATTTCCCTCAACTTCTTGATTGACCTCTTTCAAAAGTTTTGGTATTTTACTTAGACCAATTACTGTGGATGTTTCTCATTCAGAAATATAACAGGCTTTATTAAAGGTAGTTTCTGTACTAAAACTAAACATAATTCTATATTCTCTATCTTAGTGGTATTGATATAACAGTTCAGACTAGAATATAGGGAAGAAGACTAAAATATAAGAACGAGGTTGGTTAAAATTCTGTATCTGTTATGTCAATACTGTTGATTTGGTCGATGTGTATAAATGATTTTATACACGCAGTGTAACTAGTTGATAAAGAAAAAAGTCAGTCTAGTTATTTAGTAATGTTTTCAGTCCTCAGTACAATAAATGAAAGGACAAAAACAAAAAAATCATGGAGTAGCTATTGTCCAAATGTATTCATGGGAATTCAAAATAGTGAAGTCAGATATGCTACTTAAAGAAGATTTTAGGGGCACCTGGGTGGCTCAGTCGGTTGGGTGACCGACTCTTGTTTTTGGCTCAGGCCATGATCTCATGGGTTGTGAGATCTAGCCCTGCCAAGGGTGACCTGTTCACCAAGGAGCTGGCTTGAAGATTCTCTCCCTTTACCCCTCTCCACACTTGTGGCATGCTCTCTTCCAAATACATAAATAAATCTTTAAAAAAAGAAATAAAGGATGATTTTACCAACACCATCACATAATCAGTTAAGCAGCAACCATTTCAAATAAATTTTATTGGTACCACTAGACATATTTGGAAAGTACTGATGAAACTTACTATTATTCTGTTACAGTAAAAAATTATTGACTAAAAGGCCAAATGTAGTTATGAGAGGTAGAGGGAATAATAATTTTCACTAATTTGAATTTTAAAAATCGATTTGTTCTCTTTTATCTCCATCTACTACTTTCACTTCCCTTCTCCACCAGAAGCAGTATCTGTAATATGTTTGATGTTTCTCCTTTTGTTTGCCTGTGTTTTTATAAAATATTACTCCTTATATGTACGTATACATATTATGCATGTCTTTTTTATTCATAGAAATGGTACAGGGTTATAGATTTCACTTAGTTTCTTACTGTTTCCATGTAGCATTGCTTTTGAAGATCAGCCCAGGTCCCTGTGTGTATATGAAGTCCATTGTGCACAGAGCTACCCCCAGCAATGAGCACTAGACTGTCTCTAACTCCTTCAGACACAATGCTGGACGAATGTCCTCTCTTGCATCTCATTTTGGATCTTGGTGAGAATTTCTTTGGGACTCATCATCTGGAGTACGACTGCTATGTCACTGTAGTGGATGTGTACAGACTTAAGGACCCAGAAGTCAGTAGGGCTCAGATGCTCAGGATGGCTGCCCCTGCCTCCACTCCCTCCAGCAGTGCATATAAGGTTCTATATGTCCACACCCCCATCAACTCTTAGTATTATCCAGGTCTCTAATTTAGCCACTGTAAGAGATATGAAACAGTATCCCATTGTTTTAATTTACAGTTCTCTAATTAATAAGGAATTTGACATCTTTTTAATATAGCCATTTGGATTTCCTCTTCTGTAGACTTCTTGTTCACATACTTTGCTCATCATTTTATGGAGGGTCCTGTCTTCGTGTTGTTACTTTGCAGAAGTTCTTTATATATTTTAGGTAATAGTTCCTTGTTGGTTTAAAACATTGCAAATACATCCTCCAAATGTCACATGTCTATGAACTTTATCCATGTTGTTCTTTGTTAAATAGAAATTCTTAATTTTGAGTTCATCAAATTTTTTTCTCCTTATTTTTATGCTCTTGGGATTTTGTTTTGAAATTACAAAGATAACTTCCTATAATTTTGAGGTATTGGCTTTACATTTATGGTTTTACTCTCCAAATCTTGATCTTTAGTAGACCTAGAGTCTACTTTCACTCGTATGTGGTATTAAATAGGGATCCAGTATTATTTTTGTTTATGTAGAAGTCAGTTTTTCCAGTACCATCTATTAAACAAACACACCTTTCCTCAGTGGTATATGATGCCATCTTTAGTGTGCGTATATTTGAAACAAAGATATAAAACTGCTAGGGTTTACAGATATGATAATCTACCTAGAAAAAGCAATACAATCAGCAGTCAAATTATTAGAACTAATACAAGGGTTGCAAGGTACCCTTTTCTTTCTTTTCTCCTTTCTTCCGTCCCTCTTTCCTTCCTTCCTCTCTTTTCCCCATCCATCCATCCATTAGGATATGTATGAGTCTCTAGGTCTTTCCACTCTTTTTATTTCTTTTATCTTAGTTATCTTTATTTCTCATGTATCTTTACATTTGGTGGATTTCTTTTTTTTCAGTCAATGCAGCTATTTCTGGACCTTTATTCTTCCCTGTAACTTTTATAATAAGTGTACATAGATACATCGTAATTGTTTTGGGGAGTCCAATAAACTTATGGATTAATTTGGGAAAACTGATGTTAGGTTTTCCCATCCAAGGTCCTAGAATGTCTCTCTACTAATACAGATTATTTTCTATGTTAAAAATTAGTATTTTCTTGGGATGCCTGGGTGGCTCAGTCATTAAGCGTCTGCCTTCGGCTCAGGTCATGATCCCAGGGTCCTGGGATGAAGCCCCACATCAGGCTCCCTGTATGGCAGGAAGCCGGCTTCTCCCTCTCCCACTCCCCCAGCTTGTGTTCCCTCTCTCGCTGTCTCTCTCTCTGAAAAATAAATAAATAGATCTTTTAAAAAATTAGTATTTTCTCCATAAACGATGTGGGAATTCTTGCTTAAATTAATTTCCAGACAGTCCATAAGTTTTGATGTAATTATAACATTTCTAAAATTACATTTCATATTTGGTTACTAATGATGTAAGAAAATGTCATTGATTTCTTTAAGGTGATTTTGCGTCAGGCAAGTCTTATTAGTTATAACAACAATTTCTTTATTTTTTCTTACAGAACTGTTCTTAACTTTGATTACTACATTAAACAATAGTGGTGATATGAAGCATCTTTGTCTTTTTCCTAATCTTAACAATTAGTCTTTTTGTAATACACATATATACACACAAATTTCATACATGTTATATATATATACACACACACACACACTTACACATTACATTATATGTGTACACACTCACAAATATTATATATATACATATATGTGTATATTTATGTATAATTGTACACATATATGTATATATGTGTGTATATATATATAAAATTTGGAGGTTAGATAATATTTAACTACTTTTGGAATCAAGATCACATTAGCCTCATGGATGGCTTGCCATGTTTTCTGCAACTACTTTCTAAGAAATGACTTTATTATCTCTTAAAAATTTGGGAGAATTTACGTGTAAAATAATATGGCCTTTGATAACTTGGAGATGGGAAGATTCTACCATTTACATTTCTTTAAGTCTTTTAAGTCTCTATTTCTTTTGGTGCCAATTTCAACATTCTCTATGTTTTCCTCAGTATGTATTTCATCTCAGTTTTAAAAATTATTAGTTCATTCTTGTTTACAACAATCTTTAATTCAATTAAAAAAATCTCTAAGTCTATAGTTATTTATCCTACCCCAGTCTATATGCTAGACAGGCAACAGAGTGAGTCACTGAACAATTAATTGTTTAAATAATTTTGCCCCAGCTTTTTTGGGGGGATTATAAAAATTAAATGACAAAGAAACAATAAGATAGCAGATTCAACAGCTAATGTCTTGTAGATTGCCTGTCTTGCTAGTCACTATGGGGAGAGAAAAGAAAATCCAGTTAGAACATCTAAAAGTCAACCCTGGTTCTAAATCAAATGCATACCTGAGAAGTGAATTTTAGATAGCCTGTGACAAAAGCATAAAGACCTATCTCAAGCTAAAGGCTGACACTGAGTCTTAACTGTATTCTAACCAGTATCAGTCTGTTACTAAATACATGCTATCTGCTTATTTGTTCTTTACAG